TAATTAAGTATTCTGTTAGAACTCAATGATTATCCTAATTATATTTTAGATTTTTTATATTTAAAATGAGATGTTTATCCTGTATTTGATTGTGTTTATGCAGTTAATTACACGAATTCAGATATGGGATGAAATCGGATAGGGATGAAATCGTTTAGGGATGAACGGGTTTAAAAGTTTTTAAGAGTTTTAGCCAAATGCTTTATAAGATAGTATAGATAATTTTAAATAATCAATAATTAATATTAAAGAATAATTTACAATTAAAATTAATTAATAAATTGAAATTAATATTAATTAATTATTATAATTAGTTCATAAACTGATATTAATATCATATAATAATTTATAACTAATATTTAATAATAATAATAATAAATAACGATTAGTATTAATGAGGGTATAATTGAAAAAAAAATGTCAATAAGGTACTAATAAGGTACTCCAACTAACGTTTCAATAAGTTAGTTTATAAATTAACTTATGCCAATTCAAACGTGTACTAAAAAAATAAGCTAAATTATCTTTGCCAAACAATGCCCTGGCTTTTCCACCTTATTCCAATTTGATATCCATAACCCTAATGACAATAAAAAATATAGAGGTTGTCTTCTTCAACCTCTACATGGTTATGGTTTACACCCAAGTTTGAGAATATCAAATCATTGCATTATTATTTGTGGTTGTATATATTCTACCTCTCTAAACCCTGCTTTCTAGTGTAATATATTGGGTTTATTTGGTTTGGTTTGATTGGCTAACTCTGATATTTGTGGTTGCATACATTCTACCCCTCTAATCCACAACTTGTTGAACCAATTCAAGTACTAGTCATTGCTTGTATCCTATTTGATTTCATCAAAGCGAGGGTCCAACCCTTCCATTTGTATAGAGTTTCATATGGTGATGCTCGTAGCTCCAACTAATAGCTAATATTGAAAGCTAAATCAACACATGTTAGCAGATTATCCTAACTTCATATACTATAAGTAATGAGTCAGTGTAACATATCTTCAATTGTCTAGGTCACTCTAGTTTGTTTTTCTCATCAATCAAGGGCGCTAAACAAAGCTAATGTTGATCCTAACTCTTACACAATGGTTTGTATGGAATCAGACTTGTGAAAATATGTGGAACCCCATCAGATTTAATTATCTCTAAAAGAAGAGCTATTGAGAGAATGAAGATTCTCACATATATTAAAAAGAAATTGTCGATGTAGAGTTTAATATGGTCATTTTTGGTTTCATAATTTACTATAGATGGGCATTTGGATCAAACCAGACCGAAAAAGGACCTATTCATGACATCAGTGGTCCTAACCAAGCCAGATCATTGATCCTTTTTCTGACAAATATTTTTTAAGTCAAACCTGATAAAAACGAGTCCTTTTTTGTAGCGGATAGAACTTAGACTGGTCTCCTTTTTAAACTTATTTTCTTTTTTTATATATCATTACCTTGTTTTCCCCTTTTATAAAAGAATGAGACCTGAAGTCTAGAACAAATGGGAAACTGACCAACTTTTTTCGGATAGGACCAGACCGGTTCCTAACCAAGGAGAGATTGCCGATCCAGATCAGTCTTTAACTTGCCAAATATGGATCAATACATGCTTTTCTCGAACCGTATAATTAATCAGACTTAAACAAAATCGACAATAATTTATTCTCAAGTCTTGGTAAATAAAATCTTGAATTTATGCTTTTCAAAGGTCACCATTTCAAATCCCCTTAGGGGGCATTTAGTTTAATAAAATGCTTTTGAGGGATTTGGATTTCATAAAAGATTTGAAGTAATAAAGGAGTTGAAATCTTTGATGTGTTTAGTTTGATGGATTTGGAATCGAATAGAATGAAATTCCATATTTTATAAATAATTCATAAAATTAGCCATAATTATAAAAATAATTAAATTATCTTTTTATTAATAAATTATTAGAAGACAAGTGTATTAAATATATTTTAAAACATTAATATATAGAAATCCCGTGAAATCCCAACCAATCCCGTGAGATTTCAAAATCCTATGTTTGAGAGATTTCAAATAAATCTTATGATTTCAAATCCGAACAATCGTGTACACCAAACATATGATTGGAATGGATTTAAAATGCAAATCCCTCAAAATCCATTTCATTCCTACAAAACAAACGGATTCTAGAAGCAACCACCGAAAGGGTTTGTTTCACTATTAATGTTTTATTTTAAAACATTAATACATGTAAGTTGGTTTTGTCACGTTATAGCAAGACTCAAAGTACAAGTACATAAATATTCAACATGCATACACTTCGTAATCTTATGAACTCAAACTCGACTTGTTATATATTTCGATCTCATATTTAGACTTTGACTCGATCGAAAGCGAGCTCAAATTACTCTATAAAATTTGATTGGGTTACAAAGTTGGTTTTATTTGATGCAAAATGTATTTTACTTTTTATTTTTTTTAAATACAATAATTATTTTAAAACAAGACTGGTTTATTTAAAATCACACAACTTCAACAATAAAAAGAAGCAAAAACACTACCAATTAAAGATGCAACCTCCCACCACAATCCTGATACAGATTTTTAGTTTGTGATGTTAATGTCACCTTCCCCACGACCACCACCCGCGCGCCACCGCACCACCACCGCCACCGCAGCTGCAATCGTAATCATTCATTTCCATGCAAAGACGACATCGCAACAAGACCCAACTTCTGTAGATTCAATTTGACAACAGTATCTGTGAACATCTTTGTGTCCTCCACCGTGTTTCCTGCCGGTATATCAACAATATACGACTCCAAAACAATGGTGTAAACTTTTTCTTCTTTCTTAAACTCATTAACAGAAGTTACGGAAAGATAGTTATTCAATCTGTGTTCACCACCCACAACTCTAAAACTCAATATATGTTTCTCGTCATCCAAAAGCTCGAGTCTTTCGGTGCTGGTGGAGGCCGGCAGCCCGGAAATCACCGTCACCTCACGAATGCTGCCAACGCCACCGTCACCGAACATATTGCAGCTCTTGATAAAATGTTTGTATCTTTGTGGGTTATCGAAACGACGGACCAGCGGCCACACAATGTTGGTTGGAGCGTCGATTCGTTGAGTGATTAGGGAGGTGCATGTGTTGGGAATTTTGTCGAACATGTGGTAGGCATTGATTAAGAGTTGAAGATGGGAGTATTCTTCTTGGGTGAGGCCTTGTGGGATTGAATTTCGTTCCATTTTCAGAAGAGGAAGTAGGAAATCTAAGCTTTGGATTTCAATGGATGTTATTAATTATTGAAGGAGTTGAATTCAGATGAAGATGATCACAAGGAAAATGGTCGTGTGGGTGCAAAAAGGTCGGTTACCAAGTTCTTGCATGTGAGTTCTGAAAGGGAGACGAGAAAAGATATCACAGAATGTGAAAAAAACCGAAACCGAAACCGAAAAACCCATTTGAACCTATCACGAGTTTCGGGTAAAATGTTTTGGGTTAACCGAGTTAAAAGAATAACTTATTTGGTTTGATATTTAATTATCTTATAGATTTTATTTATACTATATTATAAAACATTTGACAAAAACTTTTAAAAATCATTCTTTATGTATGAGGTACTGCATATTTATGCATATTACTTAAAATTTAAAATTACAAGTAAATTATGCGTAAGTACAACTTATTAAAGCTATATTTTCAATTCGGATGACTAACTGCAGATAAATATAATCAAATACATGATAAACATCTCATTTTAAATATATAAAATCTAAAATATAATTAAGATAATTAATTGAGTTATAACAGAATCATTATATTTATAAAAATTTATTATTAAGCCAAAAATAAATTACTTCATCATTGACCTAAATTAAATTATAAAAAATTGAACCGAAAAAAATTGTAAAAAAAAAAAAATTAAATGGTTAATTTAATATTAATATCGATATACTTTTTCAAAATTTTATGATGTATTCAAATTTATTTTTATTAAAAAGTAAAAACATTATATTTCTCAAAACCATATAAACCAAACTATACCAATAGATACAAAAAATAAAACAAAACATTAAAATGAAGATTTATCTTGTTATATTGTACGAGAACCTTTCTAATTATTAGATAATGTTTTCTTGTTAGACGGTATTTATTATTTGGATGCTAGATTAATTGTCGAATATTATATAATTATATATTGTAAACAAGGTGTCTTGTAGTTTTTTTTATGCTAGTTCAATGGTTGAATATGAAATCTTATTTGATTAACCCAAAATTGTTTAAATTAAACTTTATTCGGTTTTATTATCAAGTAATTTGGAAAACGTTGAAAAACCGAATGACACCCAAAACCCGATTTAACTGACCGAATAACACCGGTAAGATGATGATGATGGACAACAAAACTATAACATATAATGTGGCTTCACGATCTTCAACTGTGTATGTCCGGTTCTGATGAACCTTAAAAATGTCATTTTCTATAAGAAGTGTGTGAAAGTGTATTGTAGTGACCACATTCAAGGTACACATTGATTAGGTCATGTAACCTTCACAACCTTCATAAGATGAAACATAACTTTCACAACACATATATATACACATATATACATATATATATATATATATATACTAGGTTTGATCCCGTGTATTATACGGGGTAATTTAAAAAAATTAAATCATGTCAGGAACTTATCTTATAGATATGAATGATCATCGAAAATACGATGTTACTTTAGACTTGTACTCTTGAAATAACTCTAAAGTATAACTCTTCATATTTGAATTTAGAAATGAAACGATATCAATAATTAGTTAAAATGAAATTAATCCTAGAATTAAATTTAATTTAATTATGAAGTAAATTTAGAATGAGTATTCAGAATTGTACTCTTGAAATAACTCTGAAGTATAACTCTGTAGAATGAATTCAGACTTGTACTCTTGAAATAACTCTAAAGAATGACTTCAGACTTGTACAATTGAAATAACTCTGAAGTATAACTCTGAAGAATGACTTTTCAGACTTGAATTTAGAAACGAAACTATATCAATAATTAGTTAAAATGAAGTTAATCCTAGAATAAAATTTAATTTAGAAATGAAACTATTTCAGTAAATTGAATTTAAACTTAGAAGAGAGTATGTGTCAAATCTGAAGACGAAATTTGAAGACCTTGAGTTCATAGTTATTCAAATACCCAATATCTTTGAAAAAAACCTCATGTTAAAGTTTGCATCATAAGAGCAAGACCAACCAGAGCTCCTCTGACATCCAGAAGCCAGACCAACCAGAGGGGGTCTTGCTTACAAGACTAAGTCTAAGTCTTAAAGACTTATCTTTAAAGTCTAGACAAGTTTATTACAAGACTTGTAATCTTGAAATTACTCTGAAGTAAAACCCTTATGTTGATCCCCTCTCTCAGTGATTTGATGATAATCCCTTTTTGCTCTATACGAAGTATTTTGTGTTTCTATCTTTTCAGTTCCAGTGATCTTCACTGAGTCTGTTCAGTGATCGCTGAAGAACTTGTATTGTAAAATGCAATCAGCGACAGCGACACTTCAAGAAGACAACACTCACACTAAAAAACCTTCAGCCAATGTCGAAGACTAAAACTGAAGACTAGAGACTGGCGAGTACGTGATCTGAAGCGGTATTCAGTGATTATAAACCTTTCTACGTATGTGTGAAGATTGCCCAAATCTCAACGAATGTTGAAGAGACTTTCAGGTTATTCCAGCATCCAGCGATCAAATGAAGCTTGCCAATCACGATTGTTGTTGTCTTGTTCTTATACACACAAAGGACAAACCCATACCCTTTCTAAATGTTAACGGTATGGAGCCGACTAATTGACTCTATTATCCACCAACTTTGTGAAAGGACCAACTTGGAAAGTTCGATCCCAAAGCTGATGAAGGAATCTTTCTTGGATATTCTTCAGTACCTAAAGCCTTCAGAGTATTCAATAAACGAAGATAGACAATAGAAGAATCTATCCATGTCACCTTTGACGAATCTCAATCAGCTAATTCAAAACCTATCTTAAATGATGATGATGAATTAGAAAACTGGATGTTCTCTCACTATGGACAACCTAAAGCTTCTTATAGTGCTCCTCTCAACACTGAATCTCATGAAGCTGAAGATGATCCACTTATCATTCTAGTTACAACTAGTCACTCCAACGCATCTTTTTCAGAGATCGCTGTCGTGCCCATTAGCTGTATTCCTCCTTCTACTTCAAACACTGATCAATCAGTGAATGAAATGCCTTCAGTATCTAAACCTATTTCAGTCGCTGAATCTGAGGCTCCTTTAGCAATTGTTCTAATTGCTGAAGACAATGCAGCTGAAGCCTCATCTTCTTTTCCTGAACTTACCTACTCAGATGAAATTCCTCTACCAGCTCACCGATGGACTAAAGACCATCCAATTCATCAAATTCTTGGTGATCTAGATGCAGGTATCAAGACTCGCCGTGGTCTAGGTAATATATGTCTCTTTGTCAACTTTTTTTCTTTAGTTGAACCCAAGAAAATCAATGATGCTATCTCTGACCCTAATTGGTTCCTTGTTATGCAAGCGAAGCTCATTGAGTTTGATAGGAACAAAGTCTGGTACCTTGTCCCACGTTTTTCTGACAAGTCAGTGATAGGTACTAAATGGGTCTATCACAACAAGTTGGATGAGGAAGGTGTGGTAACCCGTAACAAGGCTCAACTTGTTGCTCTGGGTTATAAACAAGAAGAAAGGATCGATTATGATGAAACCTTCGCACCAGTGGCTAGACTCGAAGCTATGCGACTTTTTCTAGCCTTTGGTGCCCATAGAGACTTTAAAGTCTACCAAATGGATGTAAAGAGTGCTTTCCTAAATGAAAAATTCAAGATGAAGTTTATGTTGAACAACCTCTAGGATTTCTTGACCCTAAGTATCCAAACCATGTTTATCGTTTGGATAAGGGTCTTTATGGGTTAAAACAAGCTCCTCGTGCCTGGTATGATACTCTTTCCTCATTTCTCATCTCTGAGAAATTTGTTCGTGGAAAGATTGATCAGACCTTATTTCTTAGGAAAGTTAAGGGTCACATCATTCTAGTCCAAATTTATGTTGATGATTTTATATTTGGATCCACTAATCCCTCTTTGTGTTTTCGGTTCGCTGATCACATGAAGAAAGAATATCAAATGAGCATGATAGGAGAAATAACATTCTTTTTAGGTCTCCAGATCAAACAATCAGATAAAGGTATATTTATCAGTCAAAGTAAGTATGTTCGTGACATGCTGAAGAAGTTTGATTTATCAAACAGTTCATCTATGAAGACTCCAATGGATCCTCCTCTCTCTCAACAAGGATCCAAATGGAAAGCCTGTAAACGTAACTGTTTATAGAGGAATGATCGGCTCCCTGTTGTATCTAACAGCTAGTCGACAAGATATCATGTACTCTACCTGCTTATGTGCAAGATATCAATCTAAACCTAAGGAATCCTATCTAATTGTTGTAAAACGCATTTTCAGATATCTTAAGGGAACTCATAACATGGGTCTTTGGTACCCTAAAGGTTTAGGTTTTGACCTAACAGGTTACTCAGATAGTGATTTTGCAGGTTGCAAAATTGATAGGAAAAGCACCACTGGAGGCTGTCATCTTCTAGGTGGAAAGTTGGTGAGCTGGACAAGCAAAAAACAAAACTCAGTGTTCACATCAACCGCTGAAGCTGAATACGTAGCCGCTGGTAGTTGCTGTGCCCAAATTCTTTGGATGAAAAACCAGTTGATGGACTATGATCTTTAGTTTTCAAAAGTTCCTATTTATTGTGATAGCACTAGTGCTATTTCAATTGCAAATAACCCTGTACTTCACTCTAAGACCAAACATATTGAGATCCGATATCATTTTATCAGAGATCATGTTATGAATGGTGATATTGAACTTCACTTCGTTTCAACTGGGTACCAGCTCGTTGACCTTTTCACCAGCCTCTTGATGAGACAAGATTTAACATCTTGATCAACGAACTGGAGATGCTAAACGCTGAAAAATAATCTTCAGCTATTAACATCACTCAGTAAGTGAAATAATTCAGTGCTTTATCTATAATACTGAACTCTTGAGTAAATGTATCTATTCTCTCTAAGGTATGATTACTTATCTCTTTTCTTCAAAACTTAAAACCTTCACTGAAGCCTTTCTTCTTCAGTGACTTAAATGTTTTAAAAGTTGGTTTCAGTG